TGTTTTAACATCTAGCTGCTCTAGATGTAAGTTCAATGTAGCACACATTGCCAAGACTACTCGAACTGTTGTTTGTCGAACCATAGGAGAAAATATTTCATTGAAATCGATACATTATTTTTGAGTATATCCTTTGACCACCAGTCTTGCACGATACCTCTAAACCTGATCGTTACCATTTCGCTTGATTTTGAAGACCCATTTATTACCAATTGGCTTCCTTCCTTGCGGTAGTGGCACAAGGTCCCATGTATTATTTTTATGAAGGACTTCAATTTCTTCTTGCATTACCATTATCCATAGTGAAGCATCTGAGTTGTTATTGCCTCTTGGTATGTTGATGGCTCACCGTCCTCTGTTAAAAGGCAGTATGCAATATTTCCTTCTATAACATAATATGAGTGTCAATTGGGACGTCTTCTCACACGATCTGATTGACGAGTTGTTGAAGCTTCAGAACTCTCTGGTTCTTGTTCATCATGTTCTGGTTATGCTTCAGAAGAATCTCCTTGTTCAAACTCCTTTTCCACATGTATTTGTGTAGTCTCTGACTTTTCAGCGCTATCATTGTCTTCTTTTCTTTGTAGTTTATATTCTACAAAGATGGCATCCCTGCTGATGATCACTTTGCGGGCAATGGGATCCCACAAGCGATACCTATTTACTCCATCAACATACCCCAAGAATTTTCATTTTCTGGATTTTGGATCCAACTTTGAAATTTCTTGGGAGTTGCACATCACGTACACAATACTTCCAAATACATGGAGGTTTGGATAATAAGTTGGTTTACCAGTCCACATCTCTATTGATGCCTTCAGTTCTATTGCAGTTGATGGAGCTCGATTCACCAAATAACAGTCGGTATTGACTGCTTCTGCCCAAAATAATTTTTCTAGGCCTGCAACCCTCAACATTGCTCTTATTCTTTCTAACAAGGTTCTGTTCATCCGCTCTGCCACTCCATTTTGTTGAGGAGTGTTCGCCACTGTGAACTGTCTTTTGATGCCTTCTTTCATACAAAAGTCATCAAATTCTTCACTTGTGTATTCTCCTCTATTATCTGTTCTAAAACACTTGATCTTATTTCCTGAATCAAGTTCCACACACGCTTTGAAGTTTTTGAAAGTTGAAAACACGTCTGACTTCTTCTTAATATGGTACACCCAACATCTCCTAGAATAGTCATCAATAAATAAGACAAAGTATTTTTCTCCGTCTAGGGATGTAACTGGTGCTTTCCATACGTCAGAATGAACCAATTTTATAACACTTTTGCCTTTAGAATTTGACGTGTTGAATTTTAACCGGTGATGCTTACTTGTTATACAATGCTCACACAAAGTAAGTGATATATTTGTTAAGCCTGGAAGTAGCTTTTGCTCCACAAGGACTTTCATTCCTTGTTCTGACATGTGTCCAAGTTTCTTATGTCATAGCATTGTAGAATTTGAACTACATGAGGCAACAGAGGATTCTGCTTCTAGCAAAGTCTCTCCCTTCAGCATGTACAAGTTTGTTGTTATCTTTTCGTCTTTCATCACCACAAGCGCTCCACGGAACACCTTCATGATTTCTTTATGTGTTTCAATCTTGCTTGCATTATTATCCAACAATAAATGGGATAATAAATTTTTCTCCAGGCCTTTCATGTGTCGCACATCTCGAACAACTTTAATTGTTCCATCATACATCTTTAATTTGATAGTTCCAACATCAACGATATCTAAGGCATGATCATTGCAACTATACACAGATCCTCCTGAGATAGGTTCATAATGATGGGACCATTCTCTTCTTGAGGTCATGTGATATGTTGCTCCCGAATCAATGAGCCATATATCTGTAAATCTCTTTCTACCTTCCACGGTGGTTGATGCTTCACAACATAGAGTATCTCCATCATCTGAAGTGTTTACGGTATTGCCTTGTGGATTGGATTTTTTACCTAGACTCCAACAATCCTTCTTCAAGTGACCCTTCTTTCCACAGTTGTAGCACTTTAATTTTTTTTTTCTTATTGACTTTGATCTACCATGTTTGTGACTGCTGCTTTGGCCACGTTATGTTGATCTCCCTCTCATCATTGTCAATGTTTCTGCTTATTGCATATTTACTTGTCTGTCTTCCTTGCTCTTGTGCTGATTTTCTTCTTGTATAACAGCAGCTGCAACGTCATCGAAGACTAGACTGGTGACATTACTGTTTATCAAGTTGATGATGAGTTGATCATATGAATCAGGTAGACTTTGAAGTAGAAGTTCAACACGTTATTGTTCTCCTATTGTACAGCTTAAGGATACAAGCTGAGAAAATAAAGTGTCCAATGTGTTTAAGTGTTCCGTCACTGAAGTAGATTCTGGCATACGAAGAGTGTACAATTTCCTCTTAAGGAAAATTTTATTGTGCAACGATGTGGCCTCGTACAGTTTGGTGAGATGATCTCATATCTCCTTAGCTGTCTTCTTCTCCTCGATGCTTGACAATACTACATCTGCTAATGTTAGATGAAAGTTTGTCGTAGCATTCTCATCCATTTCGATCCATTTGTTGTCATCTGTGAAATCCATCGGCCTTTCAATAATAGCTGCTAGACAACCGTCTTTCCTCGGGATGACCTTCATCTTCAGTTTTCACAATGAAAAATTTCTCTCATTGAACTTTTCAATATCAAATTTCGTTGTCATAGCTTCTATTACGGATAGCTCTCACTATTTCACTATCGTGAATAGTTCTCTGAAAACTTCAAAGAATGGGTAATAACTTCTTACTTTTTTATGTTTGATGATCCACCTTTTGGTGGCAACCACAAAGACAATAAGTAGATATTACACACTCAAATCTGGCTCTGATACTAATTGTTGCGGAATACAGCTATAAGATAAAGCAAAATCGTAATTGATAATTTGAGAAAATAAAAATGAAGATAAGGAAGACACAAATTTTACGTGGAAAACCCCTAAATAATATAGAGTAAAAATCACGGGCAACGGTAGAAGAATTTCACTATGAGAAAATAGGAATTACAACTTCTCTCGATCTAACAATGAGAAAACAATGACAATTCTCTCTTGATAAAAAAAGAAAACAACTCTCCAGAAATCTCTCTAAATTCTCTAGTATTTGGAGAAAGCTGGAATGATTTGAGATGGTTTTGAAATTAAATGGGTTAGGGTATTTATAGTTGAAGCTTAAAGACTAATTTTATAAATATCCTAAAGTATAGGGACTAAATTTATAATTTTACCATTCCATTTTTTCAACAATATCGGTTGCCAACTTGTTGCACCGAAAATCACCGAAAGTTTGGCCAACTTGTTGCTTGACTTTTCAACAATTTCTACAAAAGAAATTTTGCATTCGAACAGTTACGTTTGCAAGATACATGAAACATTATGAAACTATATTATATTACAATTACACAATAATTAATTTGAGTATTAAATCAATTGATAAAAGCTAATAGGAGATGGCACTTTAATCGAATTTTAATGTGAAGTTTTCTAACCGTTTTAATCCCTTCTTGCATCATATAAATAGAATAATTCTATATTTTACAAATTCTCTCATTCAATAAAATTAATATTATTTGGTCTACTTTTTAAGGCCAAAATTTTCAATGTCAACTCTCCAAAACATGATATAAATAGAATCAAAATTAAAGAGTAATTAGATTATTACATTAATATTTTATTACGTTGAAATGAAAATAGAAAAGCAACGTCGGTGTTCCATTTAGCTGTCATTGTTCCTAACATTCTCGTTAGAACTCAAAAAAGCATCCATCATCTTTCTTTGTGAGAATCAAAAGGGAACCCTTCCAAAACAACAATTTAGGTTCGATATTTTTTTCTGATAATTTTAAATTACAAAATATGATAAATATATATAATATGAATTTTTAATGTGTTTAGCTTGATTTTTATTCATTTATCGCTAATTAAAATGAATAAAAGTTTAAGTTTGTAAGCTAAATAATTTGAAACAAAAAAAAAATATTTAATCATCAATAAAAAGATAAAGTATATTTAGTCGGTTGATCAAGTTGCTTAACTTTATTCCCTCATATTCTTTTTAGGTTATAAATTCTAGTCCCACTAAGAGTACTCACATTCTTTTTCCTAAAGTCTTCCGTTCCTCCTTCCTCTAGGTAAGATTAGATTATAAATTTTTTAAAATGAGACCCTAAAATATTTTATAATAAGAATTAATTGTAAAATATCAAAATCTACCATAATACGATTATTTCTTATAAAAAAAATAAAATTTCAAACATATGAAATTAAGATAATGTCACAAAACAACTATATAATTGTGATATTTTATTTAAAAATGTCATCATTCAAATGCTCTTAGATGTAATATCATGATATTTTTCTACAGTATAGGCCCCTAAATTTTGAGGCCTTCTGACGTATCACATTTTATATTTGCCGATGGACATGTCTGAATCAAGATTAAATTTAAAATTTATTAAAAATTAATAAAAAGAATGCAAAAGGATAAAATTATCCTAAAGTTTGTATAAATTATAACGTTATCCTATTATTTGTTAGAGTATTTTAACTTTAACATTAATTTTTTTATCAAAATAGATTTTGTTGAATAAAAATCATTAGTTAATTAGCGACCAACTTATATAACATTTGCACATATTCAATTAATGACGTGATATGTGTTATATTATCAAAATTGATAACATGTATTATGTCACTAAAATTAATGACATAACATATGATACATTACTTAAAATGATAACACGACATATATTCGATAAATTTTATCACCAAATAAATATGATGGCAATCATGTAAATTATAAGAAGTCGAGGGTTAATTCCCACAAACTCCACCTTTTACCCGGCAAAAGAATTCCTTTCAAAGAAAATGAATAAAACAACCCACCATCAAAAAGAAAAACCGGGAAAGCATAACACCCGATCTCGAAAAAGAAAAGTTCACAGAAATTCCTTCTCCAGCCCCGATTACAAAAGAACCAAACTTTATTCATTCATGGAAGTGCTGCAAATTCTAAACCGTTCACAAAGTTCATTTCTTTTCCTTATTAAATTTATAAACGTTTTTTTACTCAAATATTCCTTCCACTTTCTCAAGCCAAGAATCTCTTCTCTCCCTCTTCCCTTTCCTTACTTTCAGATTCTCCCCTTTCCTTCCTTCTTTTAACAATGCTTCTTTCGTCCCCTCTCGCTTTCTCTCCCGCCCTTCTTTACTCTCTGCCTCTTCCTTTCATTCACATATTCCGGCCACTTTTTCATAAATTATATACCCCATGGCTCCTCCTCCTCCTCCTCCTCCCTCCGATGTTAACCACCTCTCTCATCCGTGTATCTATGGTGGGTTTATTTTAGTTTCTCGAGTTCCTTTCACCATCTGTTTCAATTCGAATTCTTTGATATACCCTTTTTTTCGTTTGTTTTAGTGTGCTTTTTTTATATAGTTATTGAAGTTTTTTAATGGGAAAAAAAACAGGGGACTTTAACAATTCGTACCCGGAGAGAAAATCGAGGCTTATGAAGTGGCTGAGTAAGATTTTCAAGTCCGGTTCCGGCGGTCGTCGTGGCGGTGGGAGTGGTGGATATAATCCTCAGTTTGTGGGGGAAGAAAACTTGGTCGTTCGTGCTCCGGTTAGGATACCGGTAACTTTACGATCCTATATTGTTTTCCTAGTACATGAAAAAAATGTCTATTTGGATTGAGATCAAGTTCCGTTTTATGTCGCTAGGATGATCGTCCAAGGACGAAGAAGGAGCAAGAGGAATTAGATCACGCAAGGGCGCTATCTTTATCTGATGGTATGGGAAAACGAAATGGTAAGTTTTTTTTGATAATTTTTATCCTACATGATCCTCATCAATATTTAATTCTTTCTCTTCTTAATCTCGACATCTTCGTGTACTGATCCGGTGCTATGTGTTCTTAGGTTACAACGAATGGCGGAGAGACGACAATTACGGTGGAGCTTTACCGAGAGGAGCTGACAATGGTGGTCCGAATTCATCTTCATACCCTCCTTATGGCAACTTGCAGTATAATCCTGCTGGATATAGGTAAATTAGCTTAGAACCATAGTCGTAAAACAATGTGAGATTATGTGATGATTGGATTCGGATTCGAAATATCCTTCTTGTGTGTTTACATCATACGTTCCGTGACCGTAAGCACACGCTGGCCACAACTGAAACCATTGATCGGTACCTTCCAATTCCATATCATTCATCCTGTATGTTGATGCCTATGACTTGCAGAGTATGTGCTGGCTGTCATCGAGAGATCGGATATGGGAATTACTTGGGATGCATGGGAGCCTATTTTCATCCCAATTGCTTCCGTTGCCATTCCTGCGGGTATCCAATTACCGAGCACGAGGTAGTTCGATTCGTTTCTTTTTTTTCTTTGGCTTTACAAATATCCTATTGCTCTTCATGTAGTTCTAAACTTCTGGGTTTTTTTTTCTTGTGATTCAAGTTTTCTTTGTCTGGGAGGGATCCATATCACAAAACTTGCTTCAAAGAACTGACACATCCCAAATGTGATGTTTGTCTCCAATTTGTAAGATTTTTTTTTCTGGAATATATCATTCTAAGTTTTAGTTCTATGAATCACATTCTTATTTTCTGTTACACCGAATTCCAGATTCCGACGAATGCAGCTGGTCTAATAGAGTATAGATGCCATCCATTTTGGTCCCAAAAGTACTGTCCATCACATGAACATGACAACACAGCTCGCTGTTGTAGTTGTGAACGTTTGGAGGTATGGATTTTAGGAACTGTTTCTTTTTAATGTGTGTTAAAGCTTCAAACTTTCTGCTAACAATCGGCGTTGTTGGTTATCGTTTTGTTTTCGCATTGAAACCCTGTTTTTCTTCACGGTTTTTGTCTCCTGAAGTCCTGGAATGTAAGATATTATTCGCTCGAAGATGGTCGGAGTTTATGCTTGGAATGCATGGAATCCGCAATCATGGACACCGGTGATTGCCAGCCTCTTTACCATGCCATTAGAGACTATTATGAAGGAATGAACATGAAACTAGACCAGCAAATTCCGATGCTTCTCGTTGAAAGACAAGCTCTCAATGAAGCCATTGTCGGAGAAAAGAATGTAATGTTATGAACCCTTGCTCAATTTTTTTACACCTTTTGTGTTCTATGGAATGGCTTTGATGTTTCAGTTTTGGTTCTTTTCCAGGGTTATCATCATATGCCCGAGACAAGGGGTTTATGTCTGTCTGAAGAACAGACAGTAACCAGTGTATGTCGACTGAACTAATTCTACCGTTTTGCGTTGTTGATCGACATAAGTCCGTCATTGTCTTTGTTTTCTTTGTTACAGATACTAAAGAGACCGCGAATTGGAGGCCGACATCTTATCGGAATGAGAACTCAACTCCAAAAGCTGACTAGGAAATGTGAAGTCACTGCCATTTTAGTTCTTTATGGCCTTCCGAGGTACAATCTCATTGAATTTCTTCTTTATGTCGTTCATGATTCAGTTTATCTCTTGTCGAAGTTCAGCAGTAATATTTGCTGGAATATGCAGACTGCTGACGGGGGCGATTCTCGCCCACGAGTTGATGCATGGCTGGTTACGCCTCAAAGGTAAAATATATGCAATCAATCTTCATTTATGATGTTTTTAATACTCCTCCCATTTTTACGTTGTTTTCTACTTTAACATATACTGCAGGATATCGAAATCTGAATCCCGAGGTCGAGGAAGGTATCTGTCAAGTGTTATCACACATGTGGCTCGAATCCGAAGTACTGCCGGGATCAAGCAGTCAAGCATCAACATCAGCAGCTTCTTCATCTTCTTCCTCGTCTAAGAAAGGAGGGAAATCTAATGTCGAAAACAAGCTTGGTGAGTTCTTCATTCACCAGATTGCTCATGACGCTTCCCCTGCTTACGGCGGAGGGTTCCGAGCGGCAAATGCAGCTGTCAGTAAGTATGGTTTACGTCGAACCTTAGACCACATTCGCCTGACCGGAAACTTCCCGTTGTGAAAACCTCAGTGATGATTCAGTTTGTCAAAAGAATGTTGAAAGTCGTGACAGAAGATTGAAATAGCTTCTCCCCAAAATTTTCATGGGGTTCCATGACAATACTTTTAACATTTACTGTTGCCAAATAAGATGAGTTTCATATATATATTACCTTGCTGTAACTTTCACGGTGACTTCGACTTTCCCGAAAAACAAATTTTGCATACGAATTTAATTCATAATTCTTCAAGCATCAAGTTGCAGATAAAATTAAAGAAGATATAATCCAAGACTATTGAAACAAGCAAGCCTCTTCCGTAAGAGAAGGTGAAATATTACTAAAACACGAAGTTATAAATGTAATGATACATGCCAGCTGTCTCTGCAATCAGGTAAAAACTTTAACCCGGGATAAGGGTGTTCGAAGACGACCACCGTTAGTATCGAATCCTTAAATATGCAGGCAATATCATATAGATTACTCTTGAAATGTAAGTCGCACTATCCATCCATCTACGTGGGAAAATATGTTTCTCACAGTAGCATAACAAAATCTGCCACTGCAACAAGAGCAATGGAAGTTAAATGGTGATGTGCTACAACATGAACTATAGTTTTGTGCTAACGTCTGCTAAAAGCGTCTTCAATGTTTCGTATGTCATGGAACATATACCGACACCAGGCGCCACTTTGTGGTATTCAGGCAATATCCCTCTATATAAACCACGAAAGCCTTCGGTTTTGAATATGTGCTTAAATGTGCCGAAAAGCCCTGTTTTGTAAACACGGGCTCGTCCACCAGCCCCCTTCAATTGTTTCCGTCGCCTAATGAGATCCAATGGAAATATTGCTGCATTTATACGGAACACAAATGGTAAAAGCCACACAATGCTTTATCCAACACATTTGAAGGCAGTTCATGGAAGAAAATATCACCAAGAGGCTGTGCTTAACAAACACAAACCGATTAAACAATGTAATTGTATGGAAATAGTCAAGTTGACGAATAATCGAATATTTCGAGATAAATGCTATGGAAAGTAGTTTGAACTGCATGCTATTGACATAAAAGGTAAATAAACCGCATGCTATAACAACTTTGTTATTTTAACATTGAAAAAAGCTTTCGAAAAAAGACTTCCCTGCCAACCGAGAAAGCCTTTAACTTGAATGCCGTCACCAATACACGGTAACGATGTTGAACTGATACTGCACTCTAGCAGTTAGTAATCTCGGTAAATGTTAAATGCAGGTTTTGCCCAACCCAAATAGGTATTATATTGGTTGACACCCATTTTTATTCGGGTCTACAAAAAATATTTATTTATTATTATTCTTATTATTTTTTATTTTGCAGGGCTCACATACAACCCCTAAAAATAGTAAACATAATCTACTAAACCACAAAACCCCACGTATTACACCACTACCCCACCTCTAATCACCCACCTACTCCACTACCTTTTGATTCTTCCCCCTTTACGATCAATCTCTCTCTCTCTTTGTTTCTCTCGTTCATTTCTCCCTTAAAAAGCAGAACAAAAAAACTTGAAGGGGGAGAGTGGTTTTTCTTGTTTTCTACGGGTTTTAACATGGAGAGAAGAAACTGAGGGCGCCAAATGATTAAGATGACAAACGAAAGCAATCTTCAAGTCACCTTTTCAAAGCGGCGAACTGGTTTGTTCAATAAGGCCGGTGAAATTATCACCCTTTGTGGTGTTGAGCTCGTCGTTGTTATCTTCTCGCTGGATCGTCGAGGCTCACCATGAGTCTAATGTCCATCAACTCAACATGGAGCTTACTCAGGTGATGGGCCAATTAGAATCTAAAAAACGTGGTGAAGAGCTTCACCAAATGGAGAAAGCAAACCAACGACAATACTGGTGTCAGTCACCAGTTGGGGAACTTGATCTCTCTCATCTCCTGCAATTCAAATCTGCCATGGATGGGTTGAAAAGGAATGTGCAAACGCAGAAGGGGTGAAATCACAAGGAAAATTAATCGGCAAGACGACAGCATTTTTTCAAAAGCGCTATTAATGGCGGAGTAAGCGGTTAAGCGACGGTGCCAGCAAATCGGCTGCAACGCTACGTTCACGGAAGACGATAATCCCGGGGGTTCCTGCTCTTTCCACGATTCGGGTCCTATATTTCCTGATGGAATGAAAGAGTGGAGCTGTTGTAGTGGAGGGGAAAAAGAGAGTTGTTACAAAATGCTTTTTTTCTCAGAGAAGAATCGCCCCCCTTTACTTGTGTTTTATATCCCTATTTTTTTTAAACACAAAATTAAAATTACAATTGCTTTGCTTCAGTTTTATCTTTTGTGCGTGTATGGACGATGAGATGAGGAAGCAGAATGATGAGCAAAGTGGGCTGTTCTCTTTGTGCCGTATAAAGAAACACGAGTCAAGTTTCCTCATTGAGCTGGATGGGGAAATATTCCATGTCCTACCTGCAACGCAGACCAAGAACCTGGATTTTATGAAGAAAGTCAGATATCCCTCGTTCAAGTACCGTGAAAATATACCGTCCAAAATGCGAAGATATTTATTATCCTCGATCCAAATACCAAGACAAGATGATGGAGCTTATTTTGGAATGCCATTTCCACATCTATTTTTAGTTACATATGGACACCTAAGTCACAAAAGCCGATACAAAAATATGTCCCAAGAGTTTTTTAGCTTCAAGCTCCATAAGCCTTAGATGTGATAGGGAAACAACTTCAAGCTGTAAGTGGAATTGAGATATTTTTGTGGGGCCCATGAGCTAATAACCCTTTGTTTAAATTGACGTGTTTTAAATTTTCTAAGGGTTAATTCATGCTATAATCATGCCAACTTTCAATATCATTCATTTTGGTCTTTTTTTATTTTTATTTTTATTTATTTTATTATTTTTTACTAATTTTTATTTATTTTTGTTATTTATTTATTTTATTTATTTTATTATTATTATTATTATGTTAATTTTTCCTTCGTTCATATTTATTTTTATTTTATAATATAACAATATTTTTTGATTTTAGGGATATTTTTCAACCAATCAAAGGTAAATGATTTGAATCGAACGTTTTAAATTTCAATTTTAATTTTAATTTTTCGTAATTTTGACAACCGACAAATTAATTGGTACCGAAAGGACAGTACAAGGGTGCTAATCATTCCTTGACTGTAACCGACTCCTGAAACCGACACATTTCTGGTAAAAAGCAGATCAGGTAAGATGATGTTCGATCCATCTAAATATTTTTAAAATGATCGGTGGCGACTCTAACTCAATCTATTTTTCTAAGTCGAAGCTCAATTCTGGGTCCAACCGAAAGACGGTTCCGACAATATTCAACCACTCGTAGACCTTTTGCAGCAACTAAAGGATCCAAGCCATCAAGCAGGACTAACAAAGTAATCCATGTACAAAAGTTTGTCATTAACTGACTCACAAGGAAAACCTAAGGGAATCTCTACGACAAAAACGTGATTGAAATCATGTCTCTCATCCAAAAGTGCAGGGTCTGAGATTTATATGACTCGTCTAATTCATTAAGGAAAACTGACTATCTTCCATTAACAGAAACTAGTAGTTCGACCCGCAATGTCTGGCCTAGCCGAGAACTGTTGAATTTACTTGACATCTGATACAAGTTGATGAAGAATTCCTGGAAAATAGCACCAGCAACATCACAAGGACTCCAATCCACTAAGCCTAACCGAGAAGCATATACCTCTCACACAGATATATCGAGGAAGCAGATTTAGTTCACCTGAGAGTGGAACCACCCTATTATGAAACAAACTGCAATTCTTGGGGAGAAAAGTTGGTGAAAAATGTTGCAGAGCAAAGTTAATCCAAGTTTTACGTAAGAATAAATAACAGTAGAGAAGAGAAAATGGTAAACTTTCTTGTTGACTTCCTTACTAAACCTCTCAAATGCCATACAAAAAACAACTCCGGTTTGAGTCTCGGTTCTAGGGTTCAATCCGGTTTTAAAGCAGAGTCTGCTCCACAACCTGCTTCTCTGCATCAAAAGCATGGTAAAAAGCTAAATGCATTAACCTCTATAGTTGGATAGTCACACTTTTAGATCAAGTAAATGCATGTATCCCAACCATTTGCCAGAAGAACATTGTTAATTAACGATGATAGAGTTGCTGAATCTTTAGGCAAACTTACACCGATCATTTAATAGATGGTTTAAAGAAGTATTGAGATCGAGAAGTTATGCAACATGATAAAGCAATATCTCTGTTAGTTGGGATACACGCAACTTTTAAGTATCTCAAAGGTAACATTAATGGTAAATAACCGAAAAAAGAGAGGGAAAACAGAATGAAAATAAGCCACAGAATTCTGAAAAATGCAATCAAGCGTTTCAAAAGAGCTCGTATGCTCTGTTTTGAAAACCGGATCGGATCGGCCAGTTCAACCGGGAATCGTTGCTTAGTCCGATTCAATCTAAACTGGTTGAACCGCTACTAGTGAACCGGCCAGAACCGCTGAACCGTTCGAACCGAACCGACTGAAAACCGGAAAAAAATGAGAAAAACCGAGAATTTTGTTTTTTTTTTAAAAAAATTAAACCAAACAACGTTGTTTGTTAAACGAGCCAAGTCGAACTCGAGTATTGCTGAGCTCGACTCGAACTTGAAAACTTTAAAAGTAAGCTCAACTCAACTCAAACTCACAAGCTAAAAATTATCAAGTTCAACTCAAACTCGAAATATAATATTGAAACTTGAACTCAAAAAGGCTTGAACTAAAAAAAAAATTAGAAGCTAGATTGAAGCCTAAAATTCGAGCTTGATTGAAGTGAAAGAATAGTTCACTCAATACTCACCAAAAGGCTCCATGATTTTGAATGTCAAATTACCTCTATTATTTATAGAAGTTAGTTATGATGCTCTTCTATGTTTCTTAGCAATGTGAGATTGTTTTGTTCTCATATTTTTACTCTTTAGACTTTTGGGATGATCTTCTATGTTTCTTAGCCATGTGGGATTGTTTTAAAAAAAATTAAATCAAACAATATCATTTTGTTATGATTTTTTAACCCCAAATTTATTTTTTAATTATAGTTATATAATTATATTTATTATTTAATATGTTTTACCTTAAATATTATGTTGTAGTTAATTTGAATCATTTTGTTTCACTTGATTTTATGGTTTTTAACTTATATATGTTATGACTTG